TCAAATAGTGATCACATAGAATGGCGGGCGCGCCAGTAAGAAGAGGCAAGAGCAGGGCTTCTGTGATGATGAGAATGCCCTTCCTTGACCCTGAGAATAGTTTCTCACAATTGTGTGCTTTTCTGCACACCTCCACCATTTCAGACTTAAAACGTCTAAAATGCTGTCCTCCTAAGTGGCTGCTCCCGCTGACCTGCCTGGTTTTACTGTCACCAGGTTCTCTCTCAGTCAAATGGACTCAAGCTTTGGTCTCTTTTGGTCCATGCTCTGGTCGGTCAAAAGACCTGACCATTCTCTCTTCACAATGTTTCTGGCACTTCCTTTCTAACAGGGACCCCTTAATTCAGGGTTCATGAGCTCAAATTTGGACTATTTTTCCTGTTTTCAAGTGCCATCAAATTCTTTACATGTTATTTCCCTGTTTTAAAACTCAAGCCCCACCTGAAACCTACTCAGTGAGAATCTGCATTTCCGTAAGATTCCCTGGTAGACTTCTGCAAGATCAAGCCTCATTTAATCTCTGCTATCGTAAGAATTAGGACTATGATTATCCCTCAGTACACATGGGAAAGTTGAGGCTTAGCAACAATAAGAAAATTGCCTGAGGTCGGGGGGCTGGAGTTCAGGACACCTTGAGGAAATACTACTGTGGAAATTATGTGAATGAGCAGTTAGGACGGGCTACTCTGAGGAGGTTAAGCTGAACTCTAGAGGACGAGTCAGAACTAGACAGGCTAAGGGAGAGGGGATGAGAATATTCCGGAGAGGTTAATAGCAGGTGCAAAGGCCTGCAGGTGGGAGAGAAATGGGAACATTTTCAGAACAGGGAGGAGGGCAGTGTGGCTGCAGAGCAGTGACGAATGAAAAGACCGTGACACAAAGGCCTTTGGAACTTGCTCAGGAATCTTATTTAATTTTAATGAGTGCCAAGGGGAACAATGAAGTAGTTTAGGTGAGAGTCTAAGTGGCTCTAGGACCACTCCAAGGAGAGGGGAATGAAGAGGGCAGGGGTGAGGATAAAGCCATGGGACAGCCACAGGGGTCTGGGCGGGAGTGTGTGTGTGTGGTCTGGCCAGGGAAGCGCAGTAGAAACGAGGTGAAATGAATGAGTGTGAGATTTTGCTTGAAGATGAAACTGACAGGCCTTAGACCACATCTTCCTCAGCATCTTTGGCACCATCTCTAAACAGGTAGAGAGCAGCACCTTCCATGTGGACACTAACACCACCCCCCTTTCCTTCCTGCTGCCCTTCGCTCCCTCTCCCTCTCTCCTAGTGAGCATATGGGGTTGGGATCAGAAAATATCATGACGTGTAAACTGGAAACTCTCTGGAAGTGCAGGGAACATTACCTTGTGCAGTTACAGCCATGCCTACAGTCAGGACTCCTGGTGGAGACCTTACACTCCGGGGCGAGCTGGCTCTGGGACATCCCAGATCTCGTAGAGAGCAGCTGCTGCCCTATAATATGCCCAGGGTGACTGTGGAGAGTGAAGAGCTGGATGTCCAGGTTTGAGACTCTGCTTTGCCCTGATTCCTACTCTCAGAACACAAGCCAACTCTCCCTCCTGGTCCAGTACAAATGGAGGAACAGCTATGCTCCAACACTTCTCTTTGAGCCTGTTGGCCCCCAGCATGAGGAGTCTCCTCTGAATCAGTGACTCCATAAGGAAGGAGGGGCAGAAAGGTTTTCACAGTCGCTGACAGCATTCTAGGGCTACCCAGTTTCCACAAAGAGAATACAATTTCTAACATCAGTCATATTTCTTGTCTGATTTTTCTTACTGTTTTAAAAACACTGCAGAGAGTGGTAGATGGTTGAAATTGGGTCTAAAAGCAATTTTCCTTCTATCATAAAAAATACTAACTTTAGACAGAGTCACATGCAGAGTAACCATTTTCTCCCTGCTAAATAAGAATTTTTAGAGATTTTCATTCAAAGCTATTTGCAAATTCTCTATGGATTTCATGCCTATTGATTATTTACATTCAAAGCGGAGGGCTGCGTTTTTACACGTAAATCCCGAGAATTTTTTTTTCCCACTGAAGATGTATGAAAATACACGTCAAACCAGGTTATTACATTTATTTTTCTTTTTCTAAAGTGGAACAGCTCCATTCTTAGAACTCACATCAATTTAATTTATCAGCTGGTTTGTTTGTAAATGGGATCATCTATCAGCAGAGGGATATTTAAAAGCTCTCCCTCTGAAGACCGGTTTCTTTACAAAATGCAAAACGGATCACATAGCGTTGCCTGAGCTGGTCTTTGTTGGCTGGAGGGTTTCTCATTGTTTTTAACTGTCAGATTTTTTACTCTTTGGTCTCATAACACAACTGTCTACCCACCTGCCCTGTTAAAAATCAGTAGCAATAAGATGAACCTAGTGGGCTTATTCGCCGTCTTGACTCAATGACCTGCATTGATCCTCAGTGATATTTGAATCAACCTGTCTTTTGGCCACCTTGGGAGTGAAATAGAACATAGTTTCCCTACAGCATTCTGAAACTTGATGGCAAGACTTGCCTTGGCTAAGGAGAAGGTCTGGTATTCAATGCCTGCGGTACACCTTATGTACATGTGTCAAGCTTAGTTAGCTGGGGACACTAGATGTCAGGAAAGAGCCAAAGACTCAAACAAATAAACAAACAAAACCCACAATTCAACTCTTGGCTCCTGTGTTTAGGATGAATAATCTGATGAAGATGGCATTTTTCTCATATTTTATTTCTCTGTACAATTTTATGTAACTTTTTTTTTTTTTTTTTTTTTTTTTTTTTTTTTTAGACGGAGTTTCACTCTTGTTGCCCAGGCTGTAAGTGCAATGGTGCAATATCAGCTCACCGCAACCTCTGCCTCCTGGGTTCAAGTGATTCTCCTGACTCAGCCTCCCAGGTAGCTGGGACTACAGGTGTGTGCCACCACACCTGGCTACTTTTGTGTTTGTAGTAGAGACGGTGTTTCTCCATGTTGGTCAGGCTGGTCTCAAACTCCTGACCTCAGGTGATCCGCCTGCCTTGGCCTCCCAAAGTGCTGGGATTATAGGTGTGAGCCACTGCGCCCAGCCTATGTAATGTTCTTAAACTGAAAAGTTGATCTTATTTTCTTAGATCCCTCTCTCACCTTCTCTTTTCTATTTCCATCATCTTTGAAAGTAAAACCTCTCTGTAATCTTCCAAATCTTAGAAAACTAACAGAGACAATCAGTGACCTCGGGTCACCAGAAAGTGACTTGCAACCCTCCAAAGGTGATCCTGGATTTCCCCTCTAGAGGGTTCCCAATTGCGTAATTGTACTAAGGAGTTGCCAAGTTGTTCTGGAGATGAGTACTAAATGCTTTGACAGAGATTTAGTCTGATGTTGCCTTTCAATTTCATTTGTATTCTGGTTTACAGATCACTTCCTAAAGCATATACCTGGCATTATATGCCTTTTGGGAATTCATTGATTCAAAGACTGAATAGAGCTGTCAGGGAGTTTGGAAATTATCCTGTTTAACTTGTGACCTTTACATTGGAGCAACCTGGGGCCCAGAGAGATTAAGTGGCTGTGCAAGGTTTTATAGTGAGGTAGTGAGACAGCCAGAGCCCAGGCCTCCACATGCCTAGCTTGTGGTCTTTAACCCGCAGAAGCCATGAAACGCTGTCATCCACAACTAATTCACACAGACTTTTCTCTTTTTCTGTGCAAAGATTCCACTTTCCCCTTTTACAGTTTGCTTCCTAGCAGTGGAGAAACATACATCTTAGATCCCTTTGACCTTTTTCTCAAACATCTTGGACCAAAGCTATTCCAGTGTGAAGCCAGGGTTTGGCCAGGAATCTATGAATAAATGGGTCACTGCATACCAGTACACATTTTTTCTTCCTTTTCCTATACAGGTGACCTCCACCCTGATATCGTCCCCCAATTTAAAGCACTCAGCCTAACCTAACATTCTCCATGCCATAAAAAGTTACAACAACAGTGAGGAGATTTCCCCAGACCAACCAGATCAAAACTCAGGTTGGAGCATGACCCAGCACAGGGCAGCGGCATGTGCCCAGAGGGACGCACAGAGGGCCTGCTGAGAACTGAACACAACGAGCACCTTGGACTACAGTAACTGTTTAACAGCATCTATTTAGTTAAAGGATTGACAAATTACCAGGAAATGCTTTCCTTAGAAAATGCCCGCTTATCCATCATCTGTCCGCCCATGTGTTCACCTGCCTACCCACCGGTCTGTCTAATCTTCTTGCTGCCTTATTCTAGAAAGGATTTGAGTGGTAGGCTCTAAGGAAATGCCTGGCAGCTCTGCTGCAACTGGAATAGTCCCAGTGATGAGATCACCAAATATGAGAAAGCACAAAGATATTAATCTGATAATCATATCCATTTCATAAAACTTTGTAGTATTAAATATGAATAAACATTGACAATTTTTCCCATATGACCTTCTTTCTTTAAATATTAGGGTAACTCTACCATTTCCTTTTAACCTCTTTTTCTCATCGTCTCTCTCTTTCTTAACATCAAAAGGAAATAGTAGGAATTACGTTAATACTATAGATACACACACATACATACACACACATATGTATATTAGAGAGAGAGAGAGAGAGAAGGAGAGAGAGATACTGCTTTCTCTGCAACTTTTGTAAATTATTCCATTGTAATGGAATAATAAATGAGCACCTAACAATGCATTTGGTTTTTATAAAAACCAGAAAGCCTCAGTTGACGGACTCTATCCCTGCATCGACCAAGTGTAAAATCATAAAGATTTTTTTTTCCTACTAAGAGAACAGCTGGAGAGCAAAAATGCACTGTCTTTCAATTAACCAGTCATGAGAAGCGATCGTAGGAAGACATCATGCCTCATTCACAAATCACGTGTAAAACAGCAGACATATCACAGCCCTGTGTCAACAAAGAGCATTAGGACAGTTCCTTGGATTGTGACAAAAGTAGCCAGGCAATCTTTCCCCAAATTCAGAAACCAAATTGCAAGCCCTTACCTTGGAGGGCCTGTAAGCTATGAGTCTGTACGATAATGCAGAGCTGCAGGACCAGCTGGGGAGCACTTTCCAGAAAGGTGGCTAGCAAATGCAGCATACTCACATCCGCATACTCATATACCATTTTCCAGTAAAACCTCCATCTGTCATTCTCCCCACTCTGTCGGCTTCGAATACCTAAGTATATTGTGTGGAAATATCTAGAAAGAAAACATAGAGAATAAGAAAGAGACGAGTGTTGATAGTTTATAATTCAAACTCCAGGGTTGTTCTTTCCTGCAAGCCATCATATGCAAGCAAGCACAAGAAACAATTACCTCAGGGACTTAGGATTTAAAGTCCAAAGTTAACTGCTTAAGAGTACCCATACTGGTAAATGCTCACTTTGAGAAATCACTGCAATTTTAGTCCTCATCAAGATATCCTGCTCAATCGCAATACGCGGAAGAAGTGTGAGGTGGAATGTGGTTGAAACTCAGGTGGAGAATGGGTTTGCTACTTTAAAGATCTACCTACATTCTTTTTTGTCAGTTTCTCCATGTGCTCAACAGTGTTCATGAGGGGATTTCTCCTAGGACACAATGCAAGCCTGAAGTACCAAAATGTATGTGCAAGTAAACTTTCTTATGTCTTAAAAAACCACTTTTTGTTATTGAAAATTCCGAACATATACAAAGGAAGAAAAAAATAATGTATCCATTATACACTTCACTCAGGGTAAGTATAGTTGATCCTTGAACAACGAGGGTTGGGATGTCAATGCAGTTGAAAATCTGCATATAATTTTTGACTCTTTCCTTCACTAATAGCCTATAGTTGATTGGAAGTCTTACTGATGAACAGTATATCAACACATATTTTGTTTATGTATTATACACTGTATTCCTACAATAAAGAGAAACGAAAATGTTTTTAAGAACATCTTAAGAAGAGAAAATATATTAACTACCCATTAAGTAGAAGTGGATCATAAATGTCTTCATCATCTTTCCATTGAATAGGCTGAGGAGGAAGAGGAGGGGTTGGTCCTGCTATCTCAGGGTGGTAGAGGTGGAATAAAATCTGCCTATAAGTAGACCTGCATAGTTCAAACTTGTATTGTTCAAGGCTCGACTGTAGTTATCAACATACTGCCAATCTTTTTCATTTGTATCTCCACTTGCTTCTTGTCACTAAATTATTTTAAATTATTTTGAAGCAAACCCGAGGCATCACATTAGTTCATCTGTATTTTATTAAAAATAATTTTTAAACCAATATTGTGATCACACTTATAAATAAAGACAATAATTTCCTAATAGTATCAAATACTCAATCTTCATATTTTCTTGATTATCACAATTTTTTTTTTTTTCAGGTGGAGTTTCGTTCTTGTTGCCCAGGCTGGAGTGCAATGGTGTGATCTGGGCTCACTGTAAACTCCGCCTCCTGGGTTCAAGTAATTCTCCTGCCTCAGCTCCCAAGTAGCTGGAGATTACAGGCATGCATCACTAAACCCAGCTAATTTTGTATTTTTAGTAATGATGGGGTTTCTCCATGTTGGTCAGGCTGGTCTAGAACTCCCAACATTAGGTGATCCACCTGCCTTGGCCTCCCAAAGTGCTGGGATTACAGGCGTGAGCCACCATGCCCAGCCCTGATTATCACAATTTTTTAAGTTTGTTTGAAATGCAATCCAAACAGAATCCACATATGATGATTATTTGATATGTATCTTAAGTCTCTTTTACAATATGGATTATCCTTCCAAGTCTTTTCAAACTTCTTGCATATTTTTCATTGTCTTGATTTTAATGATTGTATTTGCATGGTGTGGTTAACATACCTATCCTTAGTGTTTTCTGCAAATGGGTAATTAGTGTTAGAATTTTGGTCAGCTTCAAGTTTGATTGTTTTTGGCAGGTGATGCAGTGTACTTTCATTAGGAGGCACATCAGGATTCATTGTTCTATTTTATGATCTTACCATCCACTGACAATATTGCAATCAAGGTTGCAAAATGGTGATATTCAGAGTCCATCATCCTTAATTACTCGTTAGAATACTTCTCCAGCTCTCTTCCCAATGTCTCTACAGTATTTGGTTGTCTGAAGCTTACTCTCTGGTAGATCCCTCAAGAAAGGTACACAGAGACAGTATTTCTTGAGCTCTTACATATTCATGCCAATATATGTTTATCAATCTTGCCTGGGTGAGAATAGGGTTCTTTGGGTTACACAGACCATAAAGTTCTACAGTTTTAATTGGAGATTGGTCCCCACTTTTAGAGTCTGTGAATGAACTGCATTCACCCAGTGCAAAGATTCTCAGATGCCAAGAGCGACGGATAGCAGGGATACAGCAAGGAAGTGCAAGAGCAGAAAATCCAGGCAACCTTTTCACCGAAAGGCTAGGTCATATGGATGTAGAATTTATGCATATTTCATGCAAGATCCAAGATATGTAATTTTATTGGAGCACTTTAAATCTGTCACTTCGTTGTTTACTATCCTAGTGTTCTTATGGAAAAGTCTGGTAGAAATCCAACATTCTTTCTCTTGTAAGCTACTTGATCTTTTTGCTTGGATGTCCCAAGTATATATACATCATATACATATATGTCATATATGTCATATATATCTCATATATATCATATATCATATGATATGATATACATATCATATATCATATGATGTATATGTGATACATCACATATATCATATATATGATATCTATACATATATATCATATGTATGTGATATATATGATATATATTTGATATATCATATATATGTGATATATATGATATACATGTGATAATATTTATATGATATATATCATATATGTGATATATATATCATATATATGTGATAAATATATATCATATATATGTGATATATATATTTATAAGAGACCTATGGTTTTATTAGAATGTATCTTGATAACGGCTGTTCTGCCTCAATTTTCTGAGGAATGATTAAGTAGCTTCAGGTTTCCATGTGCAGTTTAATTTTTCTTAAATAATAGCACTTAGTATTTTTTTCTAATCCATTGCTTCTTCTTGGATGCCTCTTACTGATTATATATGCTATATCTTCTTTCTTGTGTGTCTAACAGTTTCTCTAGAATCCTTTTAATCTCAAATTTCTTCTAGATTTTAAACTTTTTCCTCCTCTCCATCTTCTACTCATCTTCTTTTTTTTTTGAGACGGAGTTTCGCTCTTGTTACCCAGGCTGGAGTGCAATGGCGCGATCTCGGCTCACCGCAACCTCCGCCTCCTGGGTTCAGGCAATTCTCCTGCCTCAGCCTCCTGAGTAGCTGGGATTACAGGCACCCGCCACCACGCCCAGCTAATTTTTTGCATTTTTAGTAGAGACGGGGTTTCACCCTGTTGACCAGGATGGTCTCGATCTCTTGACCTCGTGATCCACCCGCCTCTCATCTTCTTACTATGGTGTGTATACAGTGTCATGTCCCTTCTAGTTGTTTCATTTCAGTCCTGCTTTTTTTTTTTAAATTTAAAATCCTATATTGAATTCTATCATCCTTTGTGTCCAATATTACCTTTTTTCTACTTATTTCTAGATCAATATTTCTAATTCTGATTTATATTGTTCTTCATAATGTTTACAATTTTAAATTTTTCTTTCAGTTCATTCAGAAGTATTTGCTTCTAATTTTTATCCATTTTGTATATGTGTTTTTCTTGTATGCTTTCATTGTCTACAGCAACATCATTAGTTTTCTTACTTTCTTTTCATTGTGCTAATTGATAATTTTCTGGTTGCTAAGTTTTAAAAGTTAATTTAGTTTCCTGTACTTTCAGGAGGGATGAGTGGGCCAGGATACCTGAGCTGGTTTCACAGCTCTCAACACATTCTTCTGGTGTTCTCATGAAGTGGCAAACAGAATCACGTGTTACTTTCTTCTATCAGCTGTCTCTGCTCCTCTCCCCTTTTATTTGGAGATTCTCTTTCATCCCTTGTGGTTGTCTCTACCCTGCTCAATTTGGAATCTATTCCCACCAGATTCCCCTCAATGCGGAGAGTTGTTTGGGAAAAGCCTTCAGGTTCTTAAGAGGTCGGAAGGACCCGGCTTGCTCCAATAGTGTCAGATTTGGTTGGATTGCTGCCTCCTGGGGCTCACCCCTGCATTGGATCATTGAGAACATTCTCCCTCCCCATCTCTCCTGCTCTTCTGAGCTTGGTTCAGGGCACTTCCCAGAGAGTATCTGGTTCTCAAGGTCTTCCCTCTGCTACCTCCTACATGGTTGTTGATATCACATTGGCTCTTATAAGTTGTCACTAATCTGTCTCTAGGTATTCATGGGGGTGTCTCAACACTGTGTTTTCATCTGCAAGTCTTCAGTTTTGTCAACCTAGTTGCTCTGCCTATTTTAATTCAATAATTCTGGTAGACTAAAGAACGATGTTGCCATTGTCACCATATTTGCAGAACACACCGTTTTAAAACACAAAGTGGATTTAATCATTCCCTTGAACGTTTGGCTGCTCTGTATGAACTTGAAGGTGAAGCTTGCTATTGTGCACTTGATAGGGACTTTCGTGGACAGGTAGATTTCTTTCTCCCACACTCCATGGCTGCAGCTTGTGATGAGGTCAGTGCAAACTGCTTGTGTTTCCTTTCTTCTACCTCCATGGCTGTTCACATGCTCATGCTTGGAAGAGTCTTGAAATAGCCTTTCCTGCTTCTTTGACTGCCAGGCTCATTTTTGAATGAATAGTCTCTATTTGATCATCACCAATCATCCTTCAATACTCCATGTAGATGCAACCTGTTTGTATTAGTTTCCTAGAGCTGCTTTAACAAAGTGTCACAGACTGTGGTTTAAACCACAGAAATGTATTATTTTCCAGTTCTGAAGACTGGAAGTCTGAGATCAGGGTGTCATTAGAGTTCATTCCTTCCAAAGCCTGTAAGCAAGCATCAGATCCACGCCACCCTTCAGTAGTTTCTGGTGGTTTGCTGTCAATATTTGGCATTCCTCAACTTGCAGAGGCATCATCCTCTTCACGGGGCATTCTCCCTGTGTGTGCACCTGTTTCTGTGTCTGCATTTCTTCTTTATATAACTACACAGTCATATTGATTAGGAGTGACCCTAATGATCTCATCTTAACTTGATCATGACAAAGATCTTATTCGATTTCCAAAATAAGGTCACATTCACAGGTTGGAGGTTAGGACTTTAACATCTTTT